ATAGTTTCTCAAACAAACTTTCTCGCGTTTCTATTTCAGACATCCCTCTCTTCTTTTAGATTAGATGAGTGAATTGTAAATTACTTCAAACAAGTTAGATTCGGCTGAAGACGATGATGTCGAAGCGTTTTTGGAACGCCAAGAAGGTCTAGATTTACAAAAATACTCAGCCATATTTGCTGAAATATTAGCAAATTAATGGTGGAATTTTTGGCTTAGTCGTTTCTGTCATTTGTTTTGCCTCTCGTCCGGTTTCCGGACTTTATTGAGGAGGGAAATAATCGAAATATAAACTCGCACAGGTATGTTAAACGCCAGAGCTCTTCAACCTGCTCCTAATCACATCGCATCAAAGTATTAGATCTCCCAAAAGTAATCGACGCAAATTGCTTCCCTTTTGAGTACAATAACTGTTTAACCTCTGCTAGCACCAGCGAGCAAAACGATCGCATTAATGAGAAATGAATCAAGTCACATCAGCAATTTATCGGGGTTTTATTCTTTTCTTACAGGAGAACGGTAGTGTAGATTTTTTGAAAACAGAGGATTTTCTCAATGACGCGAAGCAAATTTTCTATTATTTTCAAAAGAATCTGCATTTCTGCTCTCCTGTAGAAAAATAAATCGTTCGATGAAATATAGCAATGGCTGATGTGACTTTGCCCCCTTTCTTCTTAACACGGTCCAGTGGATCGTATTCCATGCATCAAACAGGTGAAATTGTAGCGATAGCGATCGGTTCAACATGTAAACAAAGCCTCAAAAGTCAATTGAGTAATCTGAGGGAATGGGATTCTTGTGATAAATTTTTTATTCCTATGAGTATAAAATTTCAATAAAAAGTGAAATTGTATGGAATTTTCTCATTTTTAGCTTTTCCTACTTAAATTCAAAAACGTTTGTTTGAGGTTATGTTCTATTGTTTTGAACTAAACGATACATCGAATCACTATCAAATATGCTCTATTCTCTTGATGTCTTCTATGCTCCCGAATTTTGTCCTAAACTGTTTTCAAAATGACCTCGAGTTAGATTTTGTTCTGGATGCTTTGTTTTGGATCGTGGGCTGCAAAGTCCTGATTCAAATAATAATCAAAGTTGACGTCTTTTTTTTAGCTAACAAAGTCCACATCTACATTGGCGTGTAAGAGCTAAAAAGAGTCGGTTTTTCAAGGTTTCATTAGGCATTACCGTAAAGCAAAGACTCCGACAGTCTAAAGCTATCGAAATTTCAATTCGTTTAGTAACGGTAGCCGCTGACTTCCGTACGTCGTACCAAGGGAAAAATTACACGTCTCTCAAGACGCGCCGCCAAAAATAATCATATTTCCTTGTTCGTCTCTGATTTTTGACTAAGCGGAATGCTCGACTGTTTTCGCCGCACCGTCCACTGCCTTCAAAATTTTATGCTCCTAAATTTATTTTGGTTTTCAACGCGACGTGGACGTGTTTATTCTCATTAGATTAGATGCTAATCCACTGAGGCGTAGCTTTGGTGGATCGTTTATGAGCTTTGTGTCCAATAAATGGCTCCTTTTTTGTAGCCGTCTATAAAGGGGAGAATCATTTATTAGCATCTCTATCGAAGCTACTTATCTTTATCGCAAACGGAAAACTACAAGAGCGCATCATTACCGAACCTTTTTTTAAGAAGCTCCCTTGTACAGTAATAATTTGTATACCTGCACGAAGTATACATATAATTATATTTAAAGGGTGCTCTCTCAACTTGTGGGGCAGGACAACCAATTTTAGTTTCATTATAAATCTACACATATTAGCTCCTTATGAGTAAACTTTAGCCTATAAAGTATCACTTGATTTTGTAATATTTTTGATTGCTAATCATCTGTATTAGACTATGTGACTTTTCAAAAAGTTTATCTCCCGGAGACGTTCTATGAAGGGACGGCGGCAGGGAGTTGAAGGGATATTAAGTTGTCAGTTGCCCGATGAACTTCTGGGAGAGAGGCACATGTCATCGTGGCGCTCGGGTGTCGCAGAATGCCAGCGTGCGTTGTAGGTGCGACTTTTATGTGTTCAATATCTCGGACAAACTTCTATTTCTATTGGGAGCTATTCGCTTCAACAGTGACGAATAAGTTATTCAAGAAGCATAGCAGTCTTCCTCTTCGGGCCATCTTTTCAATGCACAAAAATACATATTTGTGATACCCTTTGAAAAAAAGATCATACGCCTGTAAAAACTCCTCAAAATGCCTGTTTTGGTACGCATCATTACAAATCACATCAGAACGGAATTTTCCATCCCTAATTTTCTGGGATTCACCAAATTCGCATCAACTATTTCGGTCGTTTCAAATTTATCGCTAATGCGCCTAATGAGTTCTATCAGGAATAGCTTTACCGTCGATAGTGATTTGTCGTCTCTGGTTTCGCGCTCAATGAATAATTTTTTTGCGATCAGTTTGCACTCCTCGTGTCGAACTATTCAGCCGGAGCAACTTGTCTAAATGCATGCATAATGCGTTTCCTATCCATCTCCTCATTTATGTTGCTAATTTTGGGCGTAAAATCGTGCATTCGATGTTGTTAAAGGATCTAATTTTGGTTCCGTATATTTTCTCTGACTTATCACGTAATGGAATAAATAAATCATACAATGTATTTTAAGATGAGCATTATGTAATACTTCAAGTCACTCTGCAGGTTTTTCCTCGGTAATGTCCAGCTTCCGTCGATGAATGGTCCAGCTACGATTTAGGTTACTTGGCAACGTAGCATTTTGTCCATTTAAGTGTATATTATGAGGAAAAATCTATGTTCTTTAAATGGGGCACCCTCATTTAGAATCGATTACTTAAAATGGATTTATTTCGAGGAAAAACATTTTAACCAAGGATGCAAGTGTTACATGCCAGAATTGCCTCTGAAGTTTTGACGTTAGTGAGATAAATTTCACAGTCTTTTGGTATCTATAAAAGTCCTGTCATTAAAATGTAACTGCGTTGGGGAGGACTCATCAGCGAAACTCAATCAACATGGAAGTCAGTCTGTACTCTCAGGAGGTAATTTTCTCCCCGATAATGTTCCATTACGTCCTACCCCGGACGAAAGAACGTAACTCAATTCCAAGATTGCAAAATTTACTCCGGCACTTTAATTTCTTACAAGAATGCACCCGTGCAATTTTTATTCAAAATTTTTCAGATTTTTGCATGAGAGCAGCTAAGTTAAAAGTTCGTGAGCTTTTTGGGGCAAAAATGCAATTTGCGAAGGGAAATTCGGCAACATTGAAATTAAGTTACGTTTTTTCGTGAGGAAAACGACGATTTATCAGAATGATTTTCAATTCGGACTTTATTCCAAAAGTATGTCATCTTTCTACCTAGAAAACTTGAAGTGACTACAACGTTGACTATTAGGTAATTCGTTCATTTTTCTCTTTATCAAGCCCCAATGTCTCCTTAAAAGATGTTAAGCTGTCTTCCGGTTTAAAAATGTATGGTTTTCATTAAGTTCCTTGTCTTTTGCGAGAAGCGACAGGTACCCGAAAAATAATGAAACAGAGATTGAATGCTAAGTTCTATTTGCTGAGAGTGCATTGAACCGAGCGGTTTTGCCAATATTCGTAGCTCTCCAAGAAGTTAAATATTAAAGTTCAAAGAAAATGGTGGAAAAGAGATCAGGAATTCACAAGCTCTTAAGTTCTATTCGCCCGCGTCCTGGCTTTTAGTAATATGATGGATCCGTACTATGTGGACAATGTTTCTGTCATCCACTAACAAACGATCAAGAGCTCATCATTTTTTTCTGTCAATCCAAGAGACCGCACGCGTCCAAATTTGCATTTTTAAAATATATTCGGATCAAGTGGACACGGTTTCTGACATGCTCCCGCCGAATCGGTCAAGAGGTTCTTCGCCAATGATGGAATATGCATTTCAACTTGAGTCTTGGGAACAGTGCTCTTCAATACAATGTAGGGTGCATGCTGAAATGTCCAAACATCCTTCCTAAGCCTACTCTTTAGGACAGTTCAAGTGTAATCGACCTTCAAAAATCGTAGCAACATTTTATCATCGCCACTTCTGAAAGATCATTCTTCTCTCTATGATAGTTCAACTTTGCCTAGGCCTATAATTTAGATTGAACTTGCGATAAGCTGTAGCTGCTTTTACTAGTTTTGGAAGTCAGATATTCAGGTTTCTTTGTGTGTCTGTGTTGTTTCCTGGTCGCGTGTTACAACTTGAGACGGCAAAGGAAATCACGTGACTTATCACGTTTTAAAAGTTTTATATTTTTGACAAACACAGTCATCAACGATGAGTGAAAAACCGTCCTACAATACTGTGTATTTTTCAATTTTTTTTTACTATTAATTTTTTTTCCACAATCAGTTCAATATCTTACCCAAAGACACTGGACCAGTGTCCATATCTTTATGGTTATGGTTTATGATAATCCATTCATGTTGGTACCATGAATGCCATGATCTGTGTCAGAGCAAGTCTCTCTGGAAAAAAGAGGAACCTGGGTTTGCCGTCAAGATTATTTTCTTTTGAATAAAGAATAGAGACGCTTGAATCAAGCAAGTTTTCGCTTGTTACGAACGACTTTTCTCTTAATTTAAACCTCTCACTGGAAAAAAAACATATTGGATCCAGAGTCCAGACTCTTAAAAACATCGACAAGAAAAAATACTCTTGATTCAATCGGATTTTTGCTTACATCAAGAACCAAGCCTCTTAATTTGAGCGGATTTCCTTTTGACCTAAGCAAAAATCCGATTGAATCAAGAGTATTTTTTCTTTTCGATGTTTTTAAGAGTCTGGACTATAGATCCAATGTGTTTTTTTTTCCGGTGCTCTTTTCCTCAATTCAAGAGAAATCTCTTTCTTGGCAGCAACGTTTACAAATACTCCTGTTTAAATCAGGTTTTTTCTAGAGTTTTGCAGTATTATGATGGTAATCGAATGAACATCAAGACACAATATGGGTCTTACTAATCTAATTGCCTTTTAATTTTTTTGTTGCAGTGAGCGATGCAAGTGGCAAATACTCGAGCAGCTTCTTCTGGGGCAATCAGTACTGGATGGGCTCGAAGACTCTCTGCTCCCAAATTCAAGCCCCCTTCCCCCTTGGATTCTCGGTTGTGCGTGGTCATTTGACTTTAAATACCATTGACTCGCAGGTTAGTCTTTGTCTATAATTTTAGTCCAATTAGATATCCTTAAATACACTGGAAAAAAACACATTGGATCCAGAGTACAGATTCTTGAAAACATTGACAAGAAAAAGGACTCTTGATTCAATCAGATTTAACCTTAAATCAAAAGGAAATCCGCTCAAATTAAGAGGCTTGGTTCTTGATTTAAGCTTAAATCTGATTGAATCAAGGGTATTTTTTCTTGTCGATGTTTTTAAGAGTCTGGAATCTTGATCCAATGTGTTTTTTTTTTTTTCTTTCTTTCTTTTTTTTCCCATAGTGTAGAGTTTCTATTGGTCTTGAAAACTTGAAATTGGCATGTGAGGAAAAAGTGACCTGATGATTTGGAAAATTCGGAGAATTTCCTAAAAAATGCAAAAAGTTGGATCGTTTTTATGGACTTAAAATCGAGAAAAAACAAGATCAATACAGTCCTATCTTTCAATTTCTTCATGTCTGCATCTCCAGCGAACGGCTATGGGATACCGAACGCTGTGCATCGTAAAATACACCTGAATCTGATCGATAAGCTGCAACATATCGGTCGTGGTAAACATTTTATATAGTGTACGCTGCATCAGATTTAAGGTGATGTGCATAATATTTTTCCACGGAAAAATTTAAGTGAAAATTTCAATTTCCTCCAAGTCAGGGGAATTTTTTCCCAAAATTGCTTAAATATACGAGTAACTTTTGCTTGAATAAGAGGGTGTCAACTGCGTTAATTCGCCATAAGTTTTCAATGTTTCAAAACTTCACAAGAAGCACATTCTCACGATCTCGTTCAACCATTTTTCGCAATTCACAATCCCAAAATTATCATTGCTGTTTTTCCCCATACCAGTTTAATACGCTATTATATACTCCACATTTTACAGACTTTTCCCGTTTTTTTTTGCATCAAAATATTCCCAGCCTTTAAAGGAAACCTGTAAGCTGTACAAACCTTCGGCTCGCAGACATTAATTAAATATTCGTAACATTTTACGTCATCCCAGAAAAACCCAATACTGACTGTCTAATATCGTAAATACTCAATATTTTTTTCAAAATGTCACGGTGTTTCAGCGTTTGAACATTATGAAATTTGGGGATGCGCGGTTCCAGAGAATTGTTTAAAAAGTATCAATACTTTTAGGAATATCCCTAGTAAAACTGCAAAAACCATGCTCATCGAAAAGAGCGCTAAAAAGTTTTCGGAAATTGTCAGGGAAATAGCCCAAGCTATCAATACATAGAACCACTTCGCAGCTGAACATAGTCGCGATCGAATTGTTCAGTCTCCCATGTTTCTACCCCAGCGTTAAAGTCTCCACGTTATTAACCGTATACATGTATTGCTGGGTTATCTAGTCAGGAATCAAAAGTTTACTTGCACGGTCGCGATCGGATCGTTCATTCTCCTATGTTTCTACCCTAGCGTTAAAGTCTCCACGTTATTAACCGTATACATGTATTGCCGGGCTATCTAGCTAGGAATCAAAAGTCGACTTCGATCGGTCCCATAATCGGCCGCTAAAGGATTGTTCATTCTCCTATGTTTCTACCTCAGCGTTAAAGTCTCCATGTTATTAACTGTATACTATACGTTCATGTATTGCTAGTTATGTGGTCAGGAATCAAAAGTTCACCTGTACGGCCGCTGAAGATTTGTTCAGTCTTCTATGTTTCTACCCGAGCTTTAAAGCTTCAAATGATGCAGAATCAACCCCTTTGTGTGGTATTATATTCATTTTATTTTCCTGTTTTCCCTCCTCGAGGCACATTATTTTGCCTAGCTATTTCATTTCGTTGTTCCTCAAAATACACACTGGAAAAAAAAAAACACATTGGATCTAGAGTCCAGACTCTTAAAAACATCGACAAGAAAAAATACTCTTGATTCAATCAGATCCAAGCTTAAATCAAGAACCAAGCCTCTTAATTTAAGTGGATTTCGTTTTGATTTAAGCTTAAATCTGATTGAATCAAGAGTCCTTCTTCTTGTCAATGTTTTCGAGAGTCAGGACTCTCGATCCAATGTGTTTTTTTTCCAGTGCAGCTTCCCGATTATTTTTTTTTTTTATTTCTCTGATATTTTACTTTATGTTTACAGACGCGTGCCATCCTGGTGGGCATCTGTTTACCGCACTCTTGCCTGAAGGAGGACATCGAGGTCCTCTTCAATTGGTCAGTCAAAATGGACCCTGCTGCTTACGAGCGCAGCTTCGAGCTGAAGCAAGTACGCACCCCGCAACAATATTACAACATGTTCCACGACTCCACTTTTTGGCTCCTCGCGTAAGTCCAATTATAAGTTTCTAGTTATAGTCATATTCTAGTTTATAGTTTTCTATTCTTTACCGATCTCTGGCGTAATTGAGTGAGGGCGGGGGGCTGATGCCTCTTTCCCTTAGAGAGCAGAGGGGCTCGCTGGAATTTAATGTTTTGTTATCCGCTTTTATCCGTTAACCCACCCACGGACAATAAAAAACTTTACTTTTTTTCTTCTTTTTTTAAAAAATAAAATTGAAACACTAAGCTTTCATCTAGACAAATAACTAAAATAAACACACCAATGTGATTGGATAATTGGATATTTCTGTCGAGCCCCCCCCCCCCCCCCCCNTTTACCCTCTTCCTCCTCCCTTTAATCTTTAATGGTGAAGATTTGACCTCTTTATTTGTGGGTATTTTGCTCCCTCGTTTATTTCGTCGTTTCTCAATCAGGGACTCTGAAAGTATTCCCTCCAGAGAAATATAAAAATATTCGAAAAAAAATTCTGGGCGGATTTGAGGGTAAATGGTTTCCTCCTCCTCCCCCTCCTCAAAAATATCGAGCCCACATTCACGTGCAACCTTGCGTCTTTAAATAGTCATGTGCAGTGTATATAAAGTTAGCCGAGAAGTTCGCGTGTTCCATATTTTAATTTTCAACGGTCAAGGTTTCCAGTCGTGGGAATTTGGACCGTGCATGACTCATTCAGACGCAGAACGATACGGCGTGTTTATGCTCAGCGCGCAATCATATGCGACGCGGATTAAAGTGGAGGTGGTCCAATTTTACTGGCGCGTAAATAGGTGATTAAAACCTGACTCCCGGAATCCCAATTATGTCTAATAGTTTAGTTCCGATCCTAGGATCCGGCAGTGGGTAGAACTGCCGTGCTGAGGAAGAACTTCGTATGAACATTCGAGAGTTGCCAAATTTCCCCGATTAAAACATTTATTTTTGAAAAAAAAAATTAGTATTTTTAATTAACATTTTCTGATATTCTAGATTAAATTGGGAGCAAAATTGTCGGAAAAATTTGAAGAAAAATATTCAGAATTTGCCTAGTAAATTCGAGGGTTATTAAAGGAAGTATGGTAACGCCTGAAGGCTCATTCGGCGTTTCATTCTTGGCATGACAGAAAAATTCTCCATCGTGCTAAGTAGAAACGCCTTATAAACACGAGAACGCTCCTAAATTGTTCGGGATTAATCATTTATTTTGGAGGGAATCTTTAAAAAAATTTTCGAAAAATGCTCGAATTAAGACTAAAATTTTTGGTAAATGGAAAAAGTTTTTGGCACATGTTACTCGGTTCTAGAAAAAGCCCCGCAGCCAAAAGTATGCAATTTTTTGGTCCCTCTACGATGCTGTATGGACTTTCTGCCACCAAGGAGTCGGATACTTCTCGAAAAACAAATGAAATTGGCACTTATCTTTCCAATGTAAAAAAATAATTAAAAAATAGGTAAATAAAAATAAATAAATATGCATGAACCTAAAAAAAATCATTTTCTCGCAACAAAGTGGAATTCTAATTTTTTCCGACTTAGGCAGTTTTTAAAGCTAGACTTGTATTTTTTTTTTTAGATTTCCATTTACGATAGAGTTGATTATTCGAATACAATGCTCTACAAAATTAAATTTAAAAAATGACAACGATGGCTAAGGAACAAGGCCACCTATCTGCAAACTGATGATTTTGCAGGACAAAGAAGAAGCATCTCAGTTTTTTAAATTTTGTAGTTCGATTTTCAATCGTTTCTAACTTGTTTCTAACTCATTACAGCGTCTTTGCAGCGCTTATTCTACGCGACATTCGAAAAAACCAAGAGCATCAGCTTGCGTATTATGAATTAAAGAATGCGGCAAAGTCGCCGACTCATTTTCGTCAAAATTGTCAGTAGGCGGTACTATTCCTTAGTCCTCGACAAGTTTTCCTGAAAAGTATTTTTCTATCAAAGGAAATTTGGCTACGTATGACTGCTCTTAGAGTGTTTATATTCACTGCTGAGCTTTGTGTTCCTCATAACACCGACCGGAGGTATTTCATAGTTGAAATGCACTATCTTCCGCTAAACTCTTTTTGCTCGTAGATCTTTATCTATCGTTTCCATCTAGTTTTTATTCGACATTAATTACACCGGGAGAACATGCCTGCAACTACATAGCTTGTCGTATGACTCCTTCACTTTGTTTATGAATTGAAAGTTTATTGTTTAAACGGATCAGTAGGCATCTAAAATTAGACTCATTCTGAATTAAATTAATGTATTGTGTATTTCCTCTGAAAGAATCAATGCAACATACCTCATTTATAGCGGAAAGTTTAGGTATCATCCGATTTCACGACGCTCGATTAAATTGATGCGAGTTTTACATGCATACAATTACGTATTGTTTTCTGATCTCTCCGTTGTGCATATTTTTTTCATTGAAAAGTTACTAAGGTGTCTTGGCTTGTAGCGAAAAGAATAGTTTGGGAGAGGTCTTTTCACCAAAAATTCATCGCAGAATTTTTGTTCCTCTGCGATTTAATTTTGATGAACCTCAGGATTTTAATAATGCACATTTATGTCTATCAAAAAAATTGGTTTTCATCAAATAATCAATAATCAATTTCAGTTTTAAAAAATTGAACAAACGTGTGTTTATTTGGACTTTTTGATCTATTAAACAAAAATTTGTTATCGAAAGTGCACAATGAATGCTGAGTGGGATTTCCCATGAGTCTTGCTAAAAATGCTCAATGGCGCACAACGGTGTTAAAACATAGTGATAAAACACACGGGTGTGATTCTAGCAATGCGCCATTTATACCTTAGGACCAACAGCCTTAATCACATTTATGTGTGGAGCATTTTTTTTTTTTTCTTCACAGATTAATTTGAAGTAGTTCTCTTTAATTAATTTTGGAACATATCTAAATTGTTTATTCTTCTTTATAGTGTTATTGATGAATGGAATTTGATCTACGAAATAAAAACCAAGTACACGTAAATAAACACTGCAAAATCTGCCTACGAACTTTCAGCTCCCTTCCCATAAAAGTAACTTCTTTTTCACTCAACATTATAGCCCATGTGATGTTTCTGCGATGAAATGAGTTTTATTAATGCTTGCGACATTAAATGTAGGAAATACTTGATTCGGGTGGGCAGTGATCGGTGTCACATTTCAATATGAAAATATACATTGTTAGTACATACCAGCGAGTAGAATATAGTAATTTATTTATTTGTCTATTTTCCCATCACCGTCAATATTTATTCAACTCCCTTATTAACTTACAAATGATTGACACCTGTTCTGGGTGATTTGCCAATGACAGCGCCATCACGTTTCTTGGCGCTACCTCTACTCACTTGTCAGTAAGTGATACGTCGCACAATAGCCCGAATCAATGGGAAAGGTCGGACATGAATTTTTTTACTAAATTACAAATTTAGATGTTTATTTCGTCAAATTTTAAAGGTTGAAGTGTAATTTTTGTAAAAAAAAAAAAAAAAAAAAAAAAAAAAAAAAAAAAAAAAAAAAAAAAAAAAAAAAAAAAAAAAAAAAAAAAAAAATACGAGAAAACCAATGGGATCATTTTTAAGACCTCACAATTTTGTAAAAACGGGATTATGAGCTTTTAAAGTTTCCAAAGTTTGTCCAACCTCTCCCATTGACTCGATCCTTTGTGCGTCGGTTTTATAGCTAAAGCAGGATGTTTGTGAATTTCTTTGATACTGAATGGTAAAGGGATGGTCATGAGAAGATTATACAAAAATGAAGTCATCAATTTTAATTTTCGAAAAATCAAGAGAGCTAAAAAGCGTATTTTATCAGCCTCCTTCCTATTTTCTTATGCCCTACCCCTTTCCCAGTTATCACTTACAAGGCAAATAAAGAAGGAATGAAAAAATTAGCATTTTAGTTTCGACCCCTGTTTTCCCTAATGCATTCTTGTGAACTCTCAGTTTTCATGCAATAGGATAAATGTATTTAACGTCGATCGATAACTGAAATCGAATCTAGCTCAGTTCTTAATCTGCACTAGATTAAAGTAAATTTCGATATTAACTGTATTTTGTGGAATAAATCCAGTTGGGCCACTGAATTCATGCTTGTCTAGTAAATCGAAGTAGTTAGCTAAACACAGTTTAATCGCAAAGTGTGCCGGTCAACAATGCATCACTTTCTCTAACTGTTCTATGATTCATCGCTTTGACGGATTTTACTCGGTAAACCACCTAATATCAGTGATAACTCGTTAATTACAACGCATCATCAATTAGATCACCTGCGTTTAAACTTACTGCATACGTTTTCCATAGAGAGAATATTCCGCCATGCTAAGGAAGAACGCCGTATGAACATTCGAAAGTTGCCAAATTTCCTCGGATAAAATGTTTATTTTTGAGGAAAATTATGAATGTTTTCCTTTGAAATTTCAGCCACTTTAGATCAAATTACAAACAATACATATTATCTGAGAAATTGTCAGAGAAATATATTCGAAAATTTTCCTGAAAATTAGTGATTTGCCAGAGGGAATTTAGCAACGCCTGAAGGCTCATACGGCGTTCTTTCTTAGCACGGCAGTATTGTCATCTGAATCATTTTAGTACACAGAAATATCATGTGTTACCCAGTGATTAGTTTTGCCAATTTTCCCTGATAATAATTTTGCCGATCAAATTTCTCTAACTGGATGCTTTTTCTGATCGCAGGGTGACATGCGCCATCGTTGGACTCCTCATGATTTCAGCGACGATTTTGGACTTTTATTTGGACTCGCCTTGTTCGAACGGCTCCATGTGGAAACACAAATGCTTCGCTTATGACAACTACTCCTACGAGATCGCCAAAACTCCGCAACACACCAGCATCTTGAACGGTCAGACGTGTCAGGGTATCAAAATTGACCCGAGTGGTAAGAAGTCATTTCATGCTAATAACTCCATTACGCTTTAAAACCCTCAAAAACCCCTTATCTACTACTGAGCCTGTCAAAAGTGTCCCATGGAGACCCATGAGATTCCATCGATCCCCATAGAGGTATCATGGGAATCCATTGGAGCCCACGGGTCCCTATAGGTTCAGTTACACGATCTAATTGAGCCATCAAATTGGGCCTCTCATTGGTCGCATGCTCACCTCAGGTCTTTTTCCACCAATCAGAGCTTCAGTTTGATGGCTCAATTTGATCGTGTAACTGAACCTTATGGGATGAATTAAGAGGCCCTTAATGGAAATCCATGGGGCAGCCAGAGTGACCTAAGGGAACCCTCAGGGCTCCTAGATGGTTCTGTCAGGCCCCTTCAGGGTTCCCCATGAGAACCTGAGCCAAATCCCAATGGGTTCCCGCAGGATAGACGGTACAATATTTCCATGGGACCCTTTTGACAGGGAAATCAAACTAAGAGGTACCTCGGCCCAATAAACACTCTTTTCCTGCACCCTCATCAGAATAATTAGCCCAGAAAATCAGAAATACATCAGGGCATTGCCAGGAAATGAGGATAATCCTAGGTCGTCTCTGTTCACACCAACCAAACAAGAACGCGGGAAGCTTAACCGCAAGAGTTAAACATTTTTGACTTGTGAAGCACTCGACGTGAAGAAAGCATACCCATTATCCCGCTTTCTGCGCATCAAAAATGTAATATCGTCAGACATTGTCGACGCACTCAAAATTCCCGCCAGCCGAATCTGCGCATTCAATAGTCCACTTCAAAAAGATCAAGGGGAAAAAACGGATAAACCCAACCGCTACGTTCATTAAAATGGACATATTCATGCTGAAATGGCCTATGGGCATAGGGTTTCCGTGCAACATAGTATCTTTTAGCATAAACACGTTCAGAAGAACGATGAGTTCCGCATGCTTCACTCTTTGTAACCGTTGAACGCCCGATCCTCGCCAGCAGTCAAGCACTGAAACCGCGAACCGAAGACGTCCAGATAACCTTGGATTCTACTGGCGCTTGCTAGGAATGGAAACAAAACGGTCGGATTTTTTCGTACGGATTTGCATATATCTCGCTGAATTTTCGAAAAGTTATTGCCATCGCATGGCAAATCAAAACAAAATACCGAGGCGTGCTTTTCCCGCAACTGGTGGAGGTGATGAGCACTTACTCTGAAAGACGCGCGCGAAAATAACAGATCGATCTTCGGAGAGTGATGAGCTTTCGTCAGTTATACTAATGAAATCATCTCAGATTCTTCGGTTTTTCCGTGAGATTTGGCTTTTTACGTAATTTAATTTGAAATTATGATGTATACCCACCTTTTTTGAGTTTGTGAAAAATCTTGCGATGTTTCGAAATGCGGTAACGTATCGATGTCCCGCAGGACAAAGTTTACGCACATATCTTCAAAACTTGGCAATGAGAAAAATTAAAGAATCAAACGTAATTTGGCAGTTTAAGGCGGAAATCAATTGAAATTTGGGAGGATAATGGGAATGTTGCCGTGCTAAGGAAGAACGCCGTATGAATATGTGAGAGTTGCCAAATTGTTCTTGTTATCAGATGTATTTTTGACGAAATTTATGCATGGTTTTCCTTGAAATTTTCAGATATTTTAGATCAAATTGCGTAAAAAAGCCTGTGAAAATTTTTGGGGAAAAGCATTCACATTATTTTTTTCAGTGAATTCGGTTTTCATCGAAGAAAATTTGACTACGTCTAAAAGCTCATACGGTGCTCTTCCTTAGCACGTCAGAATAGAGGGCATTTTTCAATTTTCTCGGCGGTTTACGACCTTTTCAGCACGGATTGAAAAAAAAGAGAAACAGAGAAGGGGAAAAAACTGTATCCTGTTACAGTCAATTGTTTAAAGAATCAAATGAAGAACTAATTTATCCACCTCTTAGCAACTACCCCTATCAGTCATGGACTATTTTTTTCCACCCTGGTGGTCTACGTGCTTGCTTTGCCGGAGAATAAGTCAATAGATAAATGAATTCTTCCCGATTGTGCTTTTCTCTCGAGAAAACCGCGACAAGTCGTCGCCTTCCTGACATAAGGGCGTAACTACACTCTGCGGTGAACCCTGTCTTCCATACAATTCAACGCTTTTCCGGGCTCATGACGAAGTGAGAAAGACCCCCAAATTTTAAAAATCAGGTTTTAAAATCAGGAATAAGAAGGGAATTTTCAAGGAATGAAAAAATTCAGATTTATAGGCACTGTCATTATACTCCGATAAACAACGCATGCAAAAGTCCTATACCAGACCGTTCATCAGACATTCTACTTTATGTCCTAACGTTAATGCGTAAGTAGGAAACATCTTTTTGTCCTGGAATGCAATATCGCAACCGTATCATCACGATCGTTTCTTCGTCTCGGCTGCTTCTTTCGCATCAAGGCCTTTTCTCCCAACATGCTGCAACACCCTGAGTTATGGTTTTCGCGAGGACTCGCCGAGGAATACTATACTGTGCTAAGGAAGAACTCCGTATGAACATTCGAGAGTTGCCAAATTCTCCTTGATATCAGATGTATTTTTGACGAAATTTATGCATGTTTTCCCTTGAAATGTTCAGATGTATTAGATTAAGTCGCGTACAAAAGTCTGTGAAATTTTTGGGAAAAAACATGCTCAATTTTCCCAGTAAATTCGGTTTTCATCAAAGGAATTTTGTCAACGTCTGAAAGCTCATACCAGGGTTGCCACAGTCAGGGAAAACAGGGAAATATCAGGGAATTTATAAAAGTCAGGGAAAACCTGGGAAAATGACGAAAATGTCACGGAGAAATCCTTGAGTCACCATTAGTCGCTTTCAAAGAAGGGTTTGAAGTTTCGAACAACACATTTTCCTGAAAATTATCTTAAATTATGTCGTTTTCACCATCTGGCATATCTTCAATGGAGATGTTGCATGTGTGAGGGATTTGCGATTTGACTGTTGATTCACATGTAAAGGCTCGCGAGAAACACGATGATGCCACTGGTTTTCTCTGAAATAAACTCCCAAGCTCAAAAAAAGCTCTCGAGTTGAGGCCAAAATGGAGGGGATATCCCACGCTATCCTGAAAGTCCACCTCTACATCAAGGCAAACTCTCCATGCAAAGATAGGGAGCAAATAATGTACATTGACAAGGCTGCCACTTTATTTGGGGACTCCAAAACTGAAAACACTGCAACCCTGCTAATGTATTTGCTCCCTATCTTTGCATGGAGAGTTTGTCTTGATGTAGAGGTGGACTCTCAGGATAGCGTGGGATATCCCCTCCATTTTGGCCTCAACTTGAGAGCTTTTTTTGAGTTTGGTAGTTGATTTCAGAGAAAACCAGTTGCACCATCGTGTTTCTCGCGAACTTTTACATCAGAATCAACAGTCAAATCGCAAATTCCTCACACATGCAACATCTCCATTGTCAGGGAACTTTACCTTCTAAATTCTGTGGCAACCCTGTACGGCGTTCTTCCTTAGCATGGCAGAACACCTCTCCGATTTCAGGAAAAATATAACGTCGAACGACGTCACACGTTAAGGTGTCCCGAATCGTTTTGGAACCAGGGTATTACCGTACACTCCGAGTGACGTAACATCAAATGCCTGCACTGAAAAGGATGATAATTACGATCTTGGTCGGGCCCGCCGCAGCGCCAGCGGTTAATCACGTTTCTGGGGTCGTGTGCCTGAGCCTGCCTTCTTCAAGTTCACGGTCAGGCGCCGCCGCAACCCGCGTAAACTCTAATCAAATCGTCGCCTATCACGATACCAGGGTTGCCGTTTTCTTTTTCTTTCATTCGTCGGGATCCTATCCGTGTCAAAATGAGTCTGAAGCAATTTAAATTAATAAAAATGGACTTGCGGGCTGAATGTTGAACTTGGTAGACAGAGCGATAGACAAAGAAGACAATATGGATATGGCATAGAGTACATAGAGTCGTAATGTAAGTGGGAGAGCTGGCGCCACTTTTAAGCATTTTCCATGTCCCGAATTCCGAGACTCCTGTGTGACGCCGGGTCACTTTTTCGATACATAATCGATTGTTTGCGATACACGGGTACCCGGCTATCCGATGACAACAACAACAACAACGAAGATAGGAATTACCACGTTTTCCACCGCCATTTTGGATCGAAAATGTATCGAAAAAGCGACCCGAACTCGGCGCACACCGGGCTCGGAATTCGTCGAGCAGAACATGGCGCCAGCTCTCCCATTTACATTACGACTCTATGTACTCTATGGGATATGGAGGGATCTTATTGGTGGAAGCGGGTGGTTGTACCATTACAACCACCCGCTGTCATACAATGCTGCCGTGCTAAGGAAGAACGCCGTATGAACCTTCAGGCGTTGCCAAATTTCCTTTGATAAATCACGAATTTCCTGGTAAACTTATGAATATTTTCCTTCCAATTTTTCAGATAATTTTGTTCGCAATTTCACTTAATGTCCCTGAAAATTTCAAGGAAAAATATTCATAACTTTCCTGAAAAATAAACATTTAACTGAAGGAAATTTGGCAACTCTCGAATGTTCATACGGCGTTCTTCCTTAGCACGGCAGAATGGATGGCACTGGTGGCAGGTAATAGACGAACTAACGACAACCCACGGGAGACCCGAAAGTTAGTCCACAATTTTCTTCGTTGGTCTACAAGAACCACCCTATTCAACCAATAGGATCGCTCCATACTCCCTATGTCATCTTTTTCTATCGCTTTGTCTATCAATTTCAACGATCAGCTTGCAGGACCCCGCGTCAGAACACAAAATAAATTAAACACCTCAAAATATGTCTTGTTATCAAAATTTTACGTAAAATTCAACTGTCGCACTTCAAATATCCGAATCTAATTCATCAGTTATAAAATAAAGATTTTTGTCAACGTTAATTGAAGCCGGAATCTGACGCTGAATGTGGGAAGTGAATATGGCTTGAATTTAGAAGTCTTTTGCGTGTGACGCGCAAACTTCAGGGCATCGATGACAAACGGAGCTCAGCTTTTATCAGTTTGTCTGAACTATTCGAATAGATTTGATACAAATCTGGATGAAAATGAATCGAATTTACGAAATTTTTGCTGTTGAGTGATGGCTGTTCACTCAAATATGTGGGCAATACGGAACCAACACACGGAAATAGAGTAAGGGAAAGGACGCGCGTTGACGACGGTGCAGAGATACAACTATACGTACTTGATGGATGTCCGTGTTGCATCTGCAAAATTGAAGGCGCGATGGCGCGAGACGTGAAACAGCACTGCTCCGCTCTATGCTTGAGTTTTCGCGCAGATACAGTAGGAAAGTTAGAGAACAAGACCCGACTTTATCTTTAGCTTTGCTGAAACTTGATCAACGCAGCAGATCAACCGTCGACCATCTATTTTACATCACCCAGGCTATTGAGAAGAAGATGAATTCGATAATCATAATCATATCATACTGTAAACGACGTATCTTTAAATTCCTTAAGCTTGAATTAACTTTGGAAGTTTTCAAAACGTTCCCCGTGTTCTGCTTGATATTTAGATGGGAAAAAGTGTGGCGTTTGGAATAATTTTTTTAGTTGTTTTTAGCTTACTTTATAGTTTTTGTGAAATGTCCTTTAAAATTTTAGTTAAAGAAATCAACCAACAGAGTCCGATCAGAGTGAACTCTGCTCTGATTTCAATTTTGGTCGGTCTTTTTCAATTTACTCATAGTTACGAACATTAAAGGGATTTGGCAACTCTGGTTTCAGGAATTCTGCGATCGGTGGCAAAATTAACAAATTCGGCTAAAATTGCGAAATATTAGCAGATTGTCTCAGATGTAGATTTGCGCGACTTGCGGTTAAATGGTCGCATGCCTTTACAATTTACCTATTTAATTTTCCCCGTTGTCGCTAATAGTGTTGAACAACTTCACGTAATCAACGCCTCCAAAGGTTGATGAAATCTCTCATCTCTGCAGGATGCGATCGTCATTCTTGCAAAACCTTTTTCAATCTCGTTTGTTCTAGATTCGCAATCTTAATACATCCATTTCAAAATCGCGGAAATTCAATCAGAACTGATTGTCTTCTGACAAGCACATAAAGGAATCATAACTTCACCAGTGCCCCTATCTGATTTCAGGTTCAACCTAAATGTAAAATCTAAATGACAATACTTTTGCATCAAGAATTTCTTCGGGCTTAGTACCAATGCTTCGACAATGGTAACAATGTTGCATGTTACAAGACCGAAATAACCGTTACATCCAAGATAATTGTAATTTAGATTAGGAATGTAGCGTGGGCTTGAAATTAGACGTGACATTGTAAGAGGTACGATTCTTTCTATTTCTGGAACACTTGGACCGCGTTCAGCAGAAAGGAATCAAGCCACATCAGCTATTGCCAAATTTAACTGTGAAATTTGATTTTTAATAAGAGAATTTTTATGCGGATTCTTTTCAAAATTTTAAGGATTTGCTTCGCAATATGCAGAAAATTCACTGAGATGTGCGCAAAAATCTGCGCAATCGTATTCATGCAGAAAATTAAATTGCCCAATTAAATTTGGCAACAGCTGACATGGCATGGTTCCTTTCTGCTTGAAGCGGTCCCTTTATAAGTGCATCTTATCGGTATTCGATTCCCATAAAGTTTGCTTGAGGCCATTGGATAATCGAGATCGCTAAGCTAAAACTGAATTACAAGAAAGCTTTTACTTTTCACAGTAGGAAAAATACAAGATCCCTGTCCTACATTCTTTTATTTGTTTCCAATTACGACCGTTTAGTCTCAAAAAATCTACTCACTTTATGCTTGGTTTCTGCTCGACTTTCGTCTCATCTTACCTATCCTATACCTCGTCCGCTCCATCTTCTCCATCAAACAAGCGATCTCGAGCGCTTGTTTGCGTCGCTCTGGTGTGAAGCGCCTTCAATTCCGAGCGATGCCATCAGTTACCGCTGCTTGCCGAGAAGCATCCAGCAGATTTGAAGGCACTTCTTACTGTTGATATCATGGGAACGTTTTCAGTGTTGGCTCATTGAATCTGAACGAATTAGTTGCCGCACCAGGGAATTCGCTGATCGTATTAGTTAAATGTTGTATAAAGTTGCAATAAATTAAAATCAGGATTTAGTTAAGAAGTAACGTTTTAGATCGAAAATGCCATGCAGATTTATTCAACTATGGCCTCTGTGAAATTGTAGCTTACTACTGGATTTCATCGCATCAACCAATATTTTGTGACTTAATAAGGCTACAAATGCTTTTTCTATCCCAAGAGTCTACTAATTAAAGTAACCATTATGTAAATTTTGATTTTTACAGATGCCAACTTGAAGACAGATGCTCAAACACCTCTGCCTGCCATTGAGAAAAATATTATCTTGGTGGATAATGGTGGATTCAAAGTTCCAGGTACCTAAATAACATCAGTTTCTATGTCACACTTTCGACTCATTTGCTTGTACAAGTGAATCAACTGAGTTACCTACCCACGCCTTGCGAATCTCATTCCTATGATGGACTCTGCATTTTTGGTTCAAGGCACTTAGTAGTTTTTGGTGCTGTGCTCTGATTTTCTATCGTTTTTAATTTAAAAGAATTCAATTATTCAAAATAAAAGAAATAGAAAAACCCCGAATATGATCTTAATGATCATAATATAAGGTGGAACAAAGAAATTTGACCCAGCAAAAACAATTTTCCTCCTGTGTCACTAATATTATCAGATTTCATGAGAGAAATAAATAATTTTTCAGTGCAGGATCAAGAGTTTTACAGTCGATCATTATACTATTTCTTTCGTTTATCTACTTATTTTTCCGCAGAAAAACTCTTTCTCTGTGTCATATCTATGATTTTTCCCAGTTGTTATTAGATGACTGTTTGCAAAATTACAAGCAGAGAAAAACTCAGACCTTGATTTAATTTAGTGAATTAAAACACTCATTATTTCTGCCAGGAGGTCCCTCCTCCTCTATTTTCGATTTGGGTGATCATTCAAAATTTCACCTTCTGAAGATATTTTGAAACAATTATATATGAATTATTTTGAGCAAATATTTCTAAACATAATTGTTTGGATCAATTGAATTTGATTTGCACTGTACCATTATTACACCAATGATAACATTTCTTCAAACGTAATTTTTTCGAGCCTACTGTGTCTTGGTCATTTCTCAGTAGGTAGGTTGTTATCAAGACAGTTGCAAAATGATCCCGTAAGTCCTTTTTTTTTGCGTTTTTATCTTTTTACTTGAGTGTACTAAATGTAATTCTCTCTTCAGAAATCGTGACAGATATTCTTCTGGCATTTTCCGTGAGACGAAACATGGCTCAAATCTGCGACAAGAAGGTTGATATCGACACGCTGCCTACAGTGCATGGTTTGAGGGCAATCAACATGGCTTGGGTGATTCTTGGTCACACTTGCATCATAGCTTTCAAGTACTCTGGTAAATATTCAATCATTATTTCTAGCTCTTGCAACAAAATGTTGAACATGCATGTCCCTTTTTCTTTTACAAGGATGCATATTCAAACTCCTAAGGAAAACTGTCCAGACAGTTGACCTGTGAGAACAAGCAAAAGCTAAGTACCCCATTTCCAAAATTGCAACATGCAGGATTCAAGCCCCAGATATATGAGAGCAATGTAGCATAAGACATTTGTTTCAAAAAATTCTGAATGCAAAAATTTTGGTGACTTTTATTTCACTTTATCAAACATTGATCAACCTCGTATTAATACTAGAAAAAATTAAATTTTCAAAACTTTATAAATTTCATACGCGATAATGACATTATTGCTCTTCATAACTACCCCTATTATCAAATCTTTTAACTCAGGTATTTATCTATTTTTACAGATAATATGGAGTACAAGAGGATGATTGAAAAAGAATTTCTCTTCCAGGCCATCAACAATGCTGCTTTCGCTGTTGACTCTTTCTTCTTCATCAGGTTTGTCAGAGAATTATTTTGAAAATCCATGTTTCTCACTTTCTTAGTATGGGTGTATTCTCTCTGAAACCCGTTTTTCTAGTGCACATCTGACTGTCTGTAAAAAAGAGAGAGTTGTTTCAGTTTAGAGTGTTGGATCAGGTCACTTCTATCTGTAAGAGAATCTATGTAGAATATACAGCTCTGATAAATAATTCAACATGAACACAATAATTCAGATTTTACTTCCCTTCTTTTATTGATCCTCACATTTTCTTTCATCTTGTTGTCTCATATGACTTCGTATTTTAGATCTTCCATTTGCCTCCAATATTCAGACTTTACATCATTTATGGATTGAACCTTTTTATTTCCAGTGGCTTGTTGGTTTCTTTCCTCTACTTCCGAACAACTGCAAGAATGGATGTCACTAAAATCACCAAGACAACAGGCATCAAGTCTAATTGTTTAGAATTTTTGGGTCTCTTAATATATCGCTTTGGAAGGTAACAAATTTTTCAAAAGCTCAAAGTCATCAATTCTATTTTCTCTTGTACGGAGATAATCCTCTGAAACTTATGTATAGAAAATTAAAGGGGATCTGAAATCAAGATGTCAGAATCTATTTTTTTCATAAAAATTACCGTAGTGTGATCTAAAGTACCCAGATTTCTTAAGTGCTTATGAGTGCTTGAAATGAAGAAATGAGCTGCATTTCTGAAACCCATACAAGCATCTTTCTTGAAGCATAAGTTTGAATGGCTCTTTTACATCTGCACTCTGGTACTCAATGACACGTACATCATCTAATGTAAAATTTCACTCACAAAGAAAAGAATACAATGTTAATGCCTTTTTATCATATTTTTTTCTTATCAGGTTAACTACTCCTTACTTCTTCATGATCGGAGTTGTAGAGGTGGCCATGAAGTGGTTCTATTACAATTCAGTATTTGAAGTTCCAGCCGATGACCATGTAAACTGCCCCAATTATTGGTGGCGAAACATTCTGTACATAAACACTCTTTTCCCTGTCAAGGATATGGTAAGAATTATTGTATTCTAAACATTTAGACAGTGGAACTCCCAAACAACGCAGCTCGGTTTGCAACTTTGCAGACTTCCTGTCATACTTATAATGTAGAATTACTCAACGTCAATTTTTGAAAACTTCCTTGATTTTTATTTTCTGTGCCAAGCAAATGCTTAAGAAACTTCAAGGAAGTATGTTGATTTGTTCTTCTTTAAAAGAATAAACTAGTAGCGAAGATTTCTAGGCATTGTGAAGGAGGTACGTGGTTTGAAAGTTTTGCTGTTGAAATTTGTCTGGAAGTATGGAAGTAAGAATTTATCCTGAAAATTTGTGGATTATAACACTTGTGCCCGGTTTTATTGTGCTAAAAGATTGCGAGAAAACCTCCAATATGGGAGTCTTGCAATCAGCCAGGCAGCCAAGAATGCTAAAATGAATTCGAGCCATTCAGCTCTGTCAAGAATTTAATACCCAAACCTGCCTCTTTTCTTGCTTACGTGTCACAACATTTCTCAATTTCTTCTTTGGCCAAAAAAAAGAAAAAAGAAGAAAAAAAAGGCATATGAAATTGGTTAAAACATAGCAGATTATTGGCAATTACTACACATTTTTGCAAACAAGGGTCCTTGAAAACTACCTTTTGTCGTAATATTCTTATTACCTGAAACAAAATTGCAGTGAACCAGTACATATGTTACAAAAATGCTGAATTGAAAAATTGTAAAACCAGTTGACCAAGTATTCTTTTGCTTTTTTCAGTGTATGATTTGGAGTTGGTACTTAGCAAATGACACCCAATTTTACATTATTGGAGTTATACTTTTAATTGTGGCAGTCAAGTAAGTAAAAGTCATTAGAATTTTGATCTCATTTTATCCTTCATATTCTTATATTATGCGAGAACTTTCCTCTCATTTTATATCATACTCTCACAATCCTCATCGCAGTATTTCTCTCTGTGGTTTTCAATGCAGTACTACAAATTTTGATTATGTCTTAGATACCTATTGCATTCAGCAAAACTTGGGTGCATTCCAATCATTTTAAAAAAAAAACTCAGGCGCTAAAAACTAGTAAAAGTTCCTTTTTTCACCCATTATGATGCCCACCATGCCAGTACTCTGGTGTTTTAGGTTTAATCGCCAACAGATACATAAAATGATCAAATAATTACTTAAATATTTCTTTGTTTCACATTTTCATTATTTGATTTCAGACGATTCCGCATAGCCGCAGTTGTTATGACTTTCTTCCTGGTAACATCTTGGTTCGTCACAGGTTTTATTGCCTACACTAACAAACACATTCCAAAGTAAGTCCTGGCAACCACAACTTTCATCTCATCTTTTCCATTAATCTTTGTGTTGTACTGTCCACATAAAAAGGAACCCCAGTAATTATTATGCAGCAAGCAAAGCAAACATACGCTTTTCTCACAGTGTGTTCAGATTTTTTTTTAAAAAAAAATATTTAAAAATGTATGTATGTTTTGATATAGTTTATATACTGTTGTTGCAACTGCTGCAACGTGTTTTGGCCATCCACTGTTCCATCCTTCATCGGTGACAAAAAAATAATTTGACATGAAATGAAACTATAATTTTCAATCATAAAAAATGCAAAAAATATCATTTACATTCCCATGTGTTTTACACTTCATTATATTGAGCCATATTTCTCATCCTGCGTTTAATATTTACAGCGTTGATGATCCTTTGGCTCTGTTTGACAAAATTTATGACAAGCCTTGGACCCGTTTTGGCCCATACATGGTTGGCATGTCTGTTGGATGGATTTTATTCAAAACTGATTGTTCTATAAAATTCTCAAAGGTAAGAACATCCAAAAAATTGTATTTTCATGAATATTGTTATTATTTAGAGGGCAAACCAGCAATATTGGATGCATTTGTCTGTATTATTCAAACAAATTTTTGTTCATCCCATATTTGTTGAGATCTAACATACCACACAAAAGTATTGATAATTTAAATCCGATTTTCAGAGAGATGAATGGTTTTATAAAGACATTGGTGATCTCCGCATTTATCAAACTCATTTGCTTGTCATCTGTGGTTTGTGTACTTTAATGATTTTTATACCTCTGATGTTGAAAAATTATATTTTTTAATAATACATACATACATACATAAAGCCACTTTCATAGGGCAGCCTTGGGCTCTACGATGCCCAATCGTCATTTGACCCTTATCCTCCCAGAAATCATCAGGCAGTTGGCACCTCCTTGTTGGTTTTTTTCTAATACCTCTATCAAATTTTCAGAGAGCATCAATTTGTGGCTGGACCGCTTCAACTCTGGGCTTACTTGGACTTCTTGTTGGTCTTTATGGACAGGATCTCCACCCAGTGACCGCCGCTTCATATTCTGCTCTCAGTCATTCACTGTGGGCACTTTGTCTTGCTTGGATTGTCATTGCATGTTCAACCGGAAAAGGAGGTTAGTAAATTAGATGCGAGTCGTAAGTTCAATTTATTTGATAACCTTGCTGGTATTATGGTCTTTTTTAGTGGCTGTGTAATAACTAAGTCTCATTTTAGCCTTTCTGTTTCTAAATTTAATCGCACTATTTTTTAATTAAAAGCGTTTTCTTCAATTTGGCATATGAATAGAAACAGCTAGGTATCTGGACATATGCAAAACTATCCTATGATTCCAAGCATTCATTCAAGTATGAACCCAATGATCTTATTGTTTCCTTTTGCTGTTCCTCTTCTTCCTGATCCTTCCCTCTCCAGAGGGAAATCGTACGAAAGATTCGAATTTTTGTGTGTGCATAGCAATTAACGTTTTCTGTTTAGTTGATTTGCCCACATGAGCAATGGCACACTTAGCACCTTTGTTTGCATTAAACTGGAAACCTCTACCAACAAAGTAACAGGCTTTTTCTGAGAAAAAGAAAAGAGAAAAAAACCTCTGTGACTTTTTGCTTTGCTCAGAATATTTTGTTTTTAAATTTAGCTTCAATTCGATCTCCATATTTTGTTGCCCCCCAGTGGAGTAGTGGCCGCAGCGCTGACTCTATGATCTGGATGTCCCGGGTTTGATTCCCAGCCACACGATGCAAGTTTAATAATCTGGAAAAACGGTTGCATGGGGATGGTTGTACAGTAAGGACTGAAGAGAGATTGGGCCTTAACTGGAACAGAGCATGATTACCTCTTGTAAGGTACCTGGAGTCATTAAAGAAAAAAAATACATGTTATGTTAAAGTTGCTATAATTCGTTTTACTCTTTATCAGGAGTGAGAGATTCTATGGAAGTACCAGTGGTAACATTCATCCATGTTTGCATGATTTCAGGTGTTGTCAACCGATTCCTTTCATCTCCCCTGTGGTACCCTTACAGTCGAGTTACCTACTGCGCCTATCTTGTCCATCCTATTGTGATGAGGTCGATGGTCATGACTCGTGATAGCCCTGTACATCTCAGTGTTATAACTATTGTAAGTATAAAAGGCTCCTTAATTGCACCTAGATACATGTATACATTGCTTTTATAGTGTAGTCTCGCGCTCTGCGACACTTAATCACCATTGCCCGCTATCCTCCCAGAGATCATCAGGCAATTGGCACCTCCTGATCTCCTCCTCCACTCCCTGTCGCCAACCTTTCACAGAACGTCCACGCCTTCGCCTTCCAGGAGGAACTCAATCGAAAACCTACTTGGGCAACCGATCGTCTGCACTTAATTGCACCTAATTTTCTAAATCTATGCTCTTTTTACAAAAATGAGAGCTCTCTGGTTTTTTAATTTTAAATCTCTCATTACTCCGTCACCATACCTGGCCAATCTCATGTACTGTCTGTCTAAGGAAACATCAATAAAACAGACATTTTTTTGTTAATTTTACTTTGCTGGGAGCTGATTTTGATCTGGCATTAATTTTCGCCCCCTTTTTGATAACTCCTCACCAAATAATTGAGATAAATTTTTTTAGAGAAGTTAAATCATGAATCACGTTGATTCCTCAGCTATTTTCCTTTTTTTGTCGAAATATTTTTCTTTCATGTTCTGCTCTGCTGAAATTTTTTTCCCTTTCATCACTCTTTTAGTTAATTTTATATGTGAATTCTTTTTTCAGACTGTGTTCTTCTTTGGTCAGCTAGTGGTATCTTACATCTTCTCATTCCTGCTCTCTTTGGCGTTTGAAGCCCCCGTGGTATCTTTGCTGCGGCTGATTTCTCCCAAGAAAGAAAAAAGACAGTCATGATACGGTGTCAAATTTAATGTCCTATAATGACACACGGTGAACGTGATATGGTATACGCAAGCATTAAAAAGTTGAGGTAACTCAATCAACTTGAACCTTGCACGAAATGTAAGGTACAAAAAGGCTGTGAGTTTATGTATTATGTAGATGTCAAAAACATGGTCTGTAAAAGAGTTAAAATCTTAGATATTGTACCTGTGAAACTATTCCCTTAGGTTTCCAAAAATATCTTTTTGAATAGACAGAAGCAAAGCGAAGAAAGTGCAAATATCTGTTCTAATGGAAAGTTTGAGTCGATGACCTTAGTGTTGCTGTGATTTTAGGAGGCAAATATTATTAGTTCATTTTGAGACCTATAACTTTGTCTCTGATTAAGTATTAGTTTTAAGGTAGTTTGTATTGCATTATTTATTGATTTTATCCTGCTTATTTTATCACTAAAATTTCAAAAGTTTTTTACTTCACTATTCAAAGATCTTCATGCTTTAAATGTTATTCTTTGAAGAAATTTTACCCAATCTGACCAACAGAAAAAAAGGAACAAAACAAGGAACATAGATTTTGATGGCCACAGTTGAATAATGCCTCCATTGTAATTTTTCATTATCTCTGTCTATGATTTATGTTTTTAAGAAGGTAATTAAAATGTTTTCTTGAAATATTCTGTGAGGGTTTGTGATTAAGTGACAACAATTCACAGAAACTTGCAAGTAAAATTGTTGATTAGGCCTCTTTTAAAATGTGTAACATGAGAAGAGGTTTTTCAACTTCAGCAGTTCATTTTTTCTATTGATTGTTTCCTAAAACTTTATCAAGTTTTTCCAATAATATAGAAGGTGTTCAATTGAGCATGTAAGTGTCTTCCATACTTTTTTTAAATCCTCCATTCTCTTATTTTCAGTTTTTTTCAATTTAATTTATTTCTACTAACTTAGATTCTGTCAAGAAAATACCTGAAAACTCTCCCTCTGTCAACTGGCGTTCAAGTTATTTTTTTTTAAGTACATCTCTCTCTCAAGCTATAAGTATGTGTGTTGAGTATTAAAAACTACTTTATCCTGTCAAAAACTCACACTATGCCAAAAATTATATTTATAAATGCCTTAAAATGTACCCAGTTTTAAGTATTTCAGTTTTGAGCGAAAATCTTTTTTATGGGTTGAAGGTAATATTTTTCCTTAAACGGCGACACAACTTATTTCCAAACTCGCACACAATTCATGGATGTCTATAGAATAGTTTTCATCCTTTTTATGAGAAAAACAACTCCATTTATGCGCATTTAAGATATCAAGAGAGAAGACAACATTTGCTTGTCAGCAAGACAGTAAAAAAAAACATACTAAACATGGAGTGGAATCCAGCTCACATTGTATTGTACACAGCATTGCACACACATTGCTTTCATTAAATGTCACTGCTTTTCCAATGTGCTTTTAAAAGTTTATAATCATAATCATGAATTATGATAAATTATTCAGTATGGCCAAAAAGTTACCAATTGGCATTTTGACAAGGCAATTTTACTGACACTTAAAAGAATCTCAACCTTGACAAAGATTTACTTTACAGTGTTGGTTCGCTTTATTGATTCCTCCTGTATTTCCACCAGATCACAATCCAAGCGTTGATAATCAAGCCCATTGATATTGTGACTTGACTTGATATGTTGTAAGTAGTTGGATTTTCAATTACTGTTCACTTGAAATAATTTCCAAAACCTTTTCGGTATTTGAACTATTTTATTGGCAATTGCTGGCAATCCAGATGAATTTATTTGTCACCACTCCTTGTTATTCAACACCTTTGGTTTGAAGCATTTGCCTCCTTTTGTGATAAAGTTTGGTTCCTAATTATTATCAAGTAACTTCTTGCAGAATAATAATTTGTAGATACTTGTAAATAATTTAAGTTGTCCATTGAACTATGTAAAAATGATAAATATCCTTTGCTTTGAACATTTGCGAAATAAAAGACGTTCTCGTCATTTAATTGCAAAAGTCAAATTCGTTTTAATTCTTAATTATTTCTCTTAGTTACGCTTTAATTTTCAAAGCAACCCTGGAAAACTCCAAATATTATGAAATATCAATAATTGCAACAAAAAGAAAGGTGCATTTTTGGTGGCGTCATACTCACTTAACATCATCTTTTATAGGGAGGGGATTTTCTACCCCCCTCCCAGGATGCCTACTTGCAGAGGCCAAACAAATTTCAGCCCAAGACGCTGAAAGGGTGAATCCGGCCCCCCTTTTTGCGCCCAATGATCAGGGTGTCTAGCATCAATCAGGATTTTCCTACCAATTCCATCACGATTTGAGGTCAATCAGGATTTGATCTCGATTTCATCGCAGGATTTGAGGAAAAATTGATTGTAAAATCAGGATTTGATTAAAGTCGGCCGTCCGATTGGACTACTTTCGCATACGCTTATGCAGAAATTTTAATTTTTCTCCGCAAAAAGTCAGGATTTTATCAGGACTTAGGAAAAATTATGAAATCAGGATTTAGCAGTCTAAAATCAGGAAAAATCAGGATTTCCCAAAATGAAAAAAAACAACTAGACACCATGATGACCCTCAGTATAATGTTTCGCATCTCGCGCAAATTTCAGAGCACCGATCGAAAACGCCTCGGTGAATCCCATTTTTAGCTCTGATTCTGAGTGTGGTAACTTGGCAATTCAGTTCACATGGACGGAGACAGAGGAAGGCGCCGTCAGATATTACTCCGATTGACGCAACACGACTGATCCGATGCGAATATGCAAGATTGAAAGTAGCGCCTTGATGCAACTATTCGTGTTCAGCGGATGTCCGTGTTGCGTACAATCGAAATTGAAGGCATTTTGGTTTTCGTGGCCTTGATAGCAAATAGTGATGCGAAATGTTGTCATTCATTAGCGCCTTGATGCAACTATTCGTGTTCAGCGGATGTCCGTGTTGCCTATACTCAAAATTGAAGGCATTTTGGTTTTCGTTGCCCTGACAGCGAGTCTCAGTGATGCAAAATTTTGTCATTCTGCTCCGTCGGAGGAAGAAACGACTTTCGGCTCCTTGTGGTCGGTTTTACGACACCCCATCCCCCCACGTCCTCCGGTGAAATTAATAGAGAATTAGTAGTATTTTGATTTTTATTTCCAGCCTGTGAACATTGCAATGGACCAGTAGACGAGGTATGAATTTAAGCGTTCTGATATATGTGTTAAAACCAAAATTTCACGCAGAACATGATCTGCAAAACAGAAACTACTTAAACTAGCGCCTAACTAACTTATTCAATGTTTCTCGACTCCCACATTCATATACCTCTATCTCATGAAAAGATAATATTCAACTACACGCAGACGGCGCACAACAAGTCTCCGCGGTTTGGAAATATGACAACGTCTATTTCAGCGCCTCGGCTAAGCTGCTGCACGTTGTTAACAATTTGAGAAAAAACATTCCTCCGTTAAGAAGCCCTCCAAAACTGTTGCAGTGCGCGACTTAAATCAATTAGACTATTGCTTATCTCATGAGCGGGAAATTCAAATTTCCCGTTGGCAAGGTAAATTGAAAACGTTAATATAATAGCAAGGAGTTTATTTTAGTAACTTTCATTACGCGAATTGTGTTCTACGTAAAATTTTGGTCAGAAATCACGTTGATACGTTTTAATGACGTATTGATAAACATTACTAAGTAGAAACATAGAAACATACATTTAACTGAGGGCCTGTGGCCGCTACGCTACGCTACAAGTAAAATATCGTAGAAAAAACATGTTCAAGTTATTTCATAGATCCAATTTTGAAAAGATCCATTACATCGATTCAAAAGCCGACGAGTGCACGCGAAAGATTGCGTACTTATCTTTGATTGCAACGTTATGCACCTTTTTATATATCCTATTTTTAAACACCGTTTTTAAAAAGTTACACACACAGTTTTTCTGAAGAGTTCCCAAGTTTTTTTCTTCTTTTTTTTTCTTTTCTTTTTTTTTTTTTTTAAACTACACACAGCGTTTAAGAAGTTTGAAAATTTCCAGAATGATTTAAAATAAAATCGCAAAAAATTTCGACGCGATATTTTCGTTCGTCCTGCTTTCTTCTTATTAAACCAAAATTAATTTTATGGGATTTAAGTTTCAAAATCGCTGCATCGTTTAAACATCGTCCGAGTTTCTGAATCGTTGCAATTAAGATCCTTATTTACCCTTTGATTGGAGTAAAAATCGGGCAAGGACCGTCATAAGAAACCGTGGACCTAGATTTACGGCGACTTTAGCGTCGCGTAAGCCAGGGAAGGGAGTGCGGTCGAGTGTCGAGTCATTTTCGTCGTGTGATGCGCCTTCAATCCAGCTAGGGCAATGTGCCTATGCCATGTAGTCGAATAGACATCGCAAATAACTCTCGCATTGCGTTTGATGCAATGCGAGAAGTATTCAGGCAGTCTTGTAGGCGCTAACATGCGCTTGACGCCGACCGCACTGTTTGGCGCAATGCATGAAGTATTCCTGCAGTCTTGCAGGCGCTGATATGAGTTTGACGCCGAGCGCACCGTGTTTGGAGCGCTTATTCGAACTCTCTTTAGGATACTCGTTTACGATTAATCTCGTTACGATATGAACAAACTCGGACGTCATCAATCACATCTGAAGACCGTTGATTGGCTAGTGGTGTGCTTTCGAGTTATCGTTGACCTTTCAATTTGTCCGTAATTTGACCGTGTACGAGAGCCTTGCAAGTATTCCCTCGCAATGTATTACTGCAGTGGAGGATCTCCAGTTCCAAATTCCTCCAACGAAGCCGATCATCATTTACCGTGGTCACATGATCAATATTTTGGTCGGTATATACCTCAAGGTCACGCGGTTGATAAAATCGACAATGACGTCACTTTATACCATTTCTGTCAATTTTTGGTGGCCCACGTAATATTTTGTATATTAACTGCATGATCTTAAGATAATGAGGAAAATTTTGAATTTGTACCACGGCTCCAGGAATTTAAAATGACGTCACCCAAATAAACGATGCTGGGGTTGTTCAGTTCCGATAACAATCGCCTGATTCGTCGATTCTGATCGCAAGAGCGTCTCATTGGCTCATTTTGATGGGAAGCGTATGATTGGTCAATATTGGTAGCAAGTATTATGTAAGAAGATAGATCTTCTTCTTTCTTTGATTGTTCAATTTAGATAGCACTCGTTTGATCGATTCTTCGAGAATCGTGACGTCATTACCGACCCACCTGCTAACACCGTACGGATTACGGAATCAGAGGCTATAAATACAAGTGGCAGCGATTAGAGGGGGTAGTTTTATCCTCCTTCATTCCTCCTTCACTCCTTCATTCCTCTCTGTTTCCTTTTCTTTTTAAGTCGTTAGGAAGTGGATCGGTAGGCCTAAAAGGGAAGTCCAACCACTATAAAGAATGGAACAACGCGCCACTGAACTTACCTCCATGAGAAATTATGTTTTTGCGATGGTCTTTCCCTGTTCAAAATGATAAGTTAACCGTCACCAAAACAAAGATTAGTTGAAGTCAACTGTGTCTTGGTGACGGATAACTGATTATTTTGAAGAGTGTTTCTCTAAGGTGGTGTGGAAAGAGTTCCTTTGATGAACCAGCTACGAATAGCGGTTAGCGGGTTAGCTGTAAGCCGTGAAACTGTCTCCTTCTATGTTCTGTAACCTAATACTTTTATTAAAGCAAATTAATACGACTGAGAAAATGTTTATTCTAGTCTGGCTGCTTTGAAAACGCCTTCAAATGCGGCGTGATACCGCACGCATTTCGGAGAGTTCAAATAGTTGTATCATTGCGCCGTAAGAATGTGACGGAAGATTACAATTGAAATAGCCTCCAGACACGCTGGGCTTGTCGATTTCCTTTGACATTTTTGCAGTGGTGAATGCATAGCTGAAGTGCGCTCCAGCTAGAAATGTATTTAGCAAATGGGTGGTTTTTATACGAGGTTAAAAATAAACAAGTGGTACTGAATATAACAAAAGAATATGAACTATGCAAAACGATAATCCGGGTATCGGAACTTGGCAGCAATTTGACACAAAATAAGAGAGTAGGAGGCATTGTCAGTTTCGGTTCAAAGAAGAAATCTTGCGTTAATGTGAATTTTCGAGAAAACTTCCGAATATTTCTCTGGAAAATTTTCAGAGGGCTCTACTTGTACTTGAAAAAAATGTACCTAAATATCTCAAGGAAAAATATCAACTAATTTCTAGGTTGATCGGATCATATTTTTTAGGAATTAAGAATTTACGTTGTAAGCTCGGGGGGAGGGGAGGAGGGGGCATGAAATCCGAATGACAACATTCAAATTTATGAACGCCTTTCTCCATCAGCACGCGGCGGCACAGAGTCTAAGAAACTCAGAATTGGGATTCCTTAACTTGACCATTTTTCCTCTGACCTACCTATTCTAAGAAAGTTACACGGAAAAAGAAAAATAGCGCCAACCACAGACAATCGGGCTCAACCCTACGGCCTGTAGAGGTGGATCCTAAAACTGTACACTGAGAAAAAACTATGGCTTATAAACCTATTAGTGGTAAATATGGAACACCACTAATAGTAGTACCTCTACATATAATAATAGCACATATACCTTAGTTATGGTCTCTGTACCTTAATTAGGTACAGAGACCTTAGTATGGTTCACAGACCGAGAATCATTAGTTTATTTACGACTATTATAGGTGTTCCATATTTACCTCTAATAGGTTTATAAACCATAGTTTTTTCTCAGTGTAGGGCTCAGGACTACTGCCGGTAGCTATTTGGCGTTATTTTACCTAGAGCGTTAGGGCTTAACGCTAAGTTGCTTTTTCGGTATGCCTTCTCTCTTGACTCACCCGAAGGATAAGTAAGATACCTATTCGTGACAACATGTTATAATCCCGAAGCAGCAGTTTCCTGCCCCTGGGGTGAGGTCGGGACTTTAAAAAAACGAGACTGACCATAAGATGCGGGATGCGGAAACAGGTCAATGGACGCAAGGT